GCCCGCAGGCCGGGGCCTGAAGTCGCACGCCTACATCCACAGCGTGCAGTTCAGCCACCACGTCTTCCTCAACCTGCACACCCTCAAGTTCTACTGCCTGCCCGACAACTACGAGATCATCGACTCCTCTCTGGAGGACATCACGGTGTGCTGCAGCCCCGGGGGGGGGGTGGCTCGATGTCCCCCCGTCCGGCTGTCACACCGCCCCGTCCCCTTCTTGCTCAGTACGTGCTGAAGCCCACCTTCACGGCGCAGCAGATCGGCAACCTGGACAAGCAGGCCAAGCTGTCGCGCGCCTACGACGGCACCACTTACCTGCCCGGCATCGTGGGGCTCAACAACATCAAGGCCAACGACTACGCCAACGCCGTGCTGCAGGTCTGCGCTTGGGGAGGGGGCGCAGGGGGGGCCGAGAGCGGCTTTGGGGCTGGGTGCCAGGCAGCGCTGCGGCCCGCAGGCTCTGTCCAACGTCCCCCCGCTGCGCAATTACTTCCTGGAGGAGGACAACTACAAGAGCATCCAGCGGCCCCCCGGGGACATCATGTTCCTGCTGGTGCAGCGCTTCGGGGAGCTGATGAGGAAGCTGTGGAACCCGCGCAACTTCAAGGCTCACGTCTCGCCCCACGAGATGCTGCAGGCCGTGGTGCTGTGCAGCAAGAAGAACTTCCAGATCACCAAGCAAGGTGAGGCCACGGGGGAGGCGGCCGCCAGCGCTGCGCCCGCAGCCAGCAGCCTCTTCTTCCTCGTCCTCCTCCTCGTCCCTGTTTGCAGGCGATGGCGTGGATTTCCTCTCGTGGTTCCTCAACGCGCTGCACTCGGCCCTGGGCGGCACCAAGAAGAAGAAGAAAAGTGAGGGGGGGGTGAGGGGTGGGGGGTGGGGGGTGGGGGGGCTGCGGGCCTCCCGTGGCCCTTTGTCACCCCAGTGCTGCCCCCATCCTCCTTGGGTCGCCCCCTGTGCCCCTCTGTCAGCCCTCCGCCACCCCCCTTGGTCGCCCCTCGTGCCTTTTGGTCACTCACCCTCTGTCGCCCCCCACGTTGCCCCTTTGCGCCCCTTTGGTCACCCCTCATCCCTCCTTTGTCACCTCCTTTGCTCTCTGCCGCCCTCCTTGCCCCCCCCCCGTGTCCCTTTTGTCACCCCTGTGCCCCCCTGTCGCCCCTCATCTCGCTCCCTGCACCCCTTCAGTCACCCCCTCGTGCCCCTCTGTCACCCCCCATGTCACCCCTGTACCCCCCGTCACCCCTTATGTCACTCCCTGCACCCCTCTGCCACCCTCCTTGTCACCCTGTGCCCCTTTTGCCACCCCTTTGATTGCCCCCCTGTCCCCCCCCATGTCACTCCCTGTACCTCTTTGCCACTTATTATGCCTCTCTGTCACCCTCCTTGTCACCCCATGTCCATTTTGTCACCCCCGTGCCCCACTGTTACCCCCCTTCTCACTCCTGTGCCCCTTTGGTCATCCCCTCTGTCACCCCGTTCCCTGTCTGCCCCCCCCCCATGCTTCATAGCACCTTGTCACCCCCTCTGTCACCCCCTCTGTCACCCCCTCTGTCACCCCCTCTGTCACCCCTCTGTCACCCCCTCTGTCACCCCTCTGTGCCCCACGTCACCATCATGCCCCTCTGTCACCCCCACCCCCCATGTCACCCCTCTGCCACCCCTGTGCCCCATTGCCACCCTTCTGCCACTCCTGTACCTCAGGTCATCCCTTGTCACCCCCATGTCACCCCCGTGCCCCGTGTCACCCCTCTGCCATCACCGTGCCCCTCTGTCACCCTTCTGCCACCCTTTTACCCCACGTCACCCCCTGCCCCTCTATGCCCCCCTTTGGCACCCCCACATCACCCCT